GTGTGTGGGTGTGGGTGTGGGTGTGGGTGTGGGTGTGGGTGTGGGTGTGGGTGTGGGTGTGGGTGTGGGTGTGGGTATGGGTATGGGTTTAGGTACAACTCTTATCCTCGGCGACGCCCACACCCACACCCCGGGGTACTACTCGGCAGAAAACTTCATAAAGATGACCTCCGGTGCAAGCCGTTTATGGAGATCCCACGCTAATGTTTTTACAGAATTGTAGCCCAGAGAGAGGACTTTCGACTTTACAATTGCAGCTTCCCAGGTAATCTATTTCTTGGGAGAAAGCTATTTCTGAAAACTGGCATTTTTATCAAAAACCCGTTTTTGAGAGGTGTCTCCTGACTGAAGGGAACAAGCTAGAGAGTTGAAACTTTTCGGAGCGATACATCTTTAAAGTATCTATCCACAATAAAAATTTCAGACCATAATGTAGTTCCAATCAAAAGTTATGAAGTATCAAAGTTGCAAAAAAAGTGACTTTTTTCATATATTGAGTAATTCATAAAATCCTAAGAGCTCAATATTTTTCAACAAAAATTTTACGGTAAATAGGACTCACTGAGATATATATCAGCAAAAGATTTCAGCTCAATCGGGCGAGCCATTTTTGAGATACAGCCTCATTAGCACTCCCGTTGATGAATATGGCCAATTTTAGGCCTTTTCGTAAAATGTTCATAAAAAGTCGAGGGATCAATATTTTTTAAAACGGCTTGCGCCAAAATTCTTAGAACTCTTCCCTCTATCACATCCCTTAAATTGAGCAAGATCTGACGACCTCGATTCAGCAAGGTCCCTATGAGGTCGGTCGTGGCTTACGTGGACTGGCTCTTATGAAAACCTTAAGTAAACAACAATACTTTAAAAATTGGTGCATATTGGACAAAAATGAAATCAAGTTTGTTACATTCACCTCATGCAAGAAAGAAAGTATTTTTCAATAGTAACTATGAATCTTACAATAAGAGGAGGAAAAGTTGATGATACTTATTAAAAACACAAATGTATTTTTTTATCAAGTTTTATAAACAAGTATTGATAGATGTTGTTTTTCTTTCAAGAAATTGGCCAATTTATTTATTATTTTCAATTAAAAATTTTTTTTTTTTATTTAATTGTAAAAAGTATTAAGCCCCCCCCCCCCCTCAGAACAGTCGATTTTTTGAGAAAAATTCGATGTCGACACTGATGCCTATTCTGATAGCCTTGACATGGATTTTAAATTGGCAATTTTTTTTGTTAAGAGAAGAAGAGTAGCTGATTTTCTGATGAGTTTTTTGCGCTAGATCCCCTAGCTGAGAAATATGGATTTGCATAGTATGAAAACATCTGTAGTTTTGCAGTGCTGTTTACGCGGGCAAATTCTTCACAATAACGACTCACTATAAAAGTGGTAATTTTTTTGTTATACAGCATACATTTGGGGCTAGATCGTATCAGAGTCGGATTTTTGAATTTCTCTTTTGCTGAAAAAAAAACTTAAATATTTGATTTTAATTACCGATTTTTTGCTCACGAATTTGAGAATTTTTCGAAAAAGTTTTTTTTTAAAAGCAAACAAAGCGAATTTCAAAAATCGGGCTCTGATACGACCTAGCCCTAAGGGTATTCTACAATTTAAAAACCACCCCGACATGCTTAGCTTGTATCGTCATATTAAAAACCTTGCCCACGCAAAGGGTATTTTTGACCAATGAATTCACTATAACTCGTGAGCGTCCAGCAAATTTGGGGAGATATTTTAACCATAATCTATTCTAGCCAAGATTAGCATTCTCTGAAATTTTGGTTGAATTCCATGGAAAAGTAGAAAAGTTTGTTTGTGAGGGGGTCCCCTTAATTCAAGAAAATTTCATGATTTTTAATACAAATTAAATTCATTGAAACGTTTTTAATTATTTCATTATTTTCATAACCACACATGTTGATTTAGTTGGTTTAAAGTCTATAAATATTTTACCAACAATTGTTCGAAATATTTATTTGGCAAAGATTCTCTGGTGAAGAGTTCATTATTAAAAAAGCTTATTTATAACGTTGAAATAGCTGAAAGAAGTGCAGATCAGAATTTTTATCTGATTATATTAACGAATTCTTAAATATGTTATTATAAATTAATACACTATGCATTTCAAATAATAGTAGTTCGTAAAGCTTGAAAAATGGTGTATCAAATAAATGAATTGATTGTTGCCATAATGATATTATAAGCCTTTCGTAGACAAATGCACATTCGATTGTATTAGGATCAATAAATCAGAATGCCAAAATAGCTAGATATGAAAACATTAATGGTGAAACGTTTTTTTAGCAAATATGAATTAATGGGCCAAACTCTTTTCTTTTTATGATAACAAAACAATCAACACTATCTTTCAAACATTCTTTTCGTTTTGAAATATCTTTTTAGAGATTTCAGTGGTATTCATTAAAGAAAAAAAGTTTATCATTCAGTTTAGGGATAAATCTAAGTTGACACCATGGCTTTCAATGATTCTTCAGAGAAGGAGAGAGACTAAAAATTTAGCAGACAGTCATAGGTAGTCTATTTAGCAGAAAGTGGCTGAGAAAAAGTTATCGTCTAAAGTTTGGAAGACAGTTTTCAGACAAGAACTCAAAATGCTTGCAGACACGGCATAAAAAGTGATGAGGACTAGTCCCTTTCAGCACCGCCTTCGTCAAGAGCTATAAGTAACACAGTTCAACCGATACCATATCAAAAGCCCAGTAAATACATACTGATAGGTAGTATGGTTGTAGTATTTTATCAAATAAATAAATTGAAATAGTTGCCAATCAATTTTCAATTGTGAATGAAACATAATTTTTTGACTAAAATTCTGTCTAATCAGCATTACTACAGACTTTATTTTATAACGTTAAATTCGCAATCGACAAGTATTAGATTTGTATCGATTTATATCTTGTTTGTATTATTTGACATGAGTTACAAAAGACATCTTCAGTCACGAACATGAGAGTGAGAACAGATGGAATCCGTTACAACTTTTTTCTTCTTGGCAAACTGAATATCCGCACGTTTATCATCAGTATTATACTTACTAAGCAGTTAATAGAACTCCACATCATTTATTGTTTCAGTAGGACAGCAATTTTACATTTTGCTACATTTTGGAATGATCATCGTAGGTGAATTTTGTTTTAAATATTCTTATCGTTTGAAAGAACAAGTTCTAATTATTAAAATCTCTATCAAATAAAATCTAACATCCTCGTTGATTAGTAACAAAGAAAGATTCAACTATTCAAGATGGTTGTAGTGAGAATTAGTTGAATTAACTGAAATAAGTTCAATTAATACACACAAAATAATTCTTTTTTATTTTAAAGAAATTTTCAATTCTGTTTTTTATCATGATCTTATTTTATAATAATTCGGTTCGTCTTTATAATAATCTTTGTTTTGTTCTTCTGATACTTGGCTCCAATCAAGTCCTCAATAATCACCAGTATTCAAAGCACACGGAATGTGAGAAGTCTAGAATGGTAAAAAAAATAGTTAGTATTTAAATCTGAGATGAACCGCAAGTAAAACTTACTAGTGAGGTATCCATAACAAATACTCTATATGCTCTTATTACACAGTCTTCAATTTTTTGCCCTTTTCTTCGACATAAATAACAGATATGTTGTTTAGTGTGTGCCGTTACTACAGCCTACGTTTAAAATAAAAAAAACTCTCACTATAAATACTTTGGTATCGAATTCAATCGCAAAAAAAACTCTATCAGATTCTAGCCAAACCAGCACATTGTTTGAATCTTTCAATCCTTAGAATTTCTACTTCTTTAAGTAATACTTACAAGTGGCTTTGGAAAAAAACCACCAATATTAGAACCATGATGTGTTGCAGTACTAACTGATGATGGATTAGCTCCATAAACACCACTAGCAATATTTGCTTGAGCATCAACACTTGTGTTAATATCATCACCTTTATGAGGACCAACAAATACTTGTTCAAGTTTATCTGCAATGATAAAATATTGAATATATGAAACGAGATGCTTTCTTAGATACATTTCTAATCATCAGAATTAGAAACGTAGTAAAACGAATTACTTACCAACATTGAAAGTAAATTTACCAGATTGATAATTAATACATAATGATCGTTAAATCATTAAGAGAGGGTCCGCCAGACGACCTACCAAGCCGGTACCACTCAAAATTTAGATTTTA